CGGGGGGCCTTGGGGCGCGTCTGCTCCGTGTGTGCGGGGCTGTGCTGCTGCCGGCCCGCTGACAGCCGCGCCGCATTTCTACGCGTGACTTGTTTTTAGAAAAGCCTAATTTATTTTTTCAAAGCCCTCTGAAGTGTGGGTCCAATCAGTGTATTTAGTTAATGGGCTGATTTGCTGCTCTGTTATTAAAGTTATTTGTGTTCACCCTGTAATTCAAAGCTAAGCAAAATGTTTAGATGAGATGAGGATAAAAAACTATTTTGTTTTTCAAGGTAGTTTTTGGATTATCATAATTAACTTTTACCTCTTTTTTTTTTATCTCCCAAATAATACTATGGTGTTTGCCTGGTGAGATGGTGCCAGCAAATATGTGGAATTGTAAAGGACTGGTTAGCTTCTCAAAAGTCATCTCGAGTCATCTGTGACTAGTCCAGTAGTCAGAGATCACGTCTTTGGGCTGTTCTAGCTAAATAATTCTGCCTCCAGCCCGGCTGAAAATGGTCTTGGATGGCCTTTGTGTCATCCTTTTATGAAAGCCAGGCATTGCATAACATCATCCTGAGTCAGAAACAGCCTTCCTCAGTTGGCCAGGTGATGCCATTCTTAACATTATGGCTGTTACTTTTGTCAAAGGACCTCAGGGTACCAGCAAAACAGCATTATCATAATTTCTGGAAGTAGTAGCCTGTGAGTTGGAAGTTTTATTGTCTTTTCCTACAGTGTCCAGACAGATTTCCACACTTCATTTCAGGCAACACATGGAAAAAAATTTACCATGTTTGGTGTATATTCCTATTAATTTTGAAGGGGGGGTTTGTTGGTTAAACAAATAGTAACATACCCTGAGCTCTTAATATGTATTCCTTTTATTTTCTACTTTTAAAAAAGGTAGTCAGAGGACTCAGGAAAAAAGACAAAAGTCCTGCTGTTGTAAAACACAATCTTTTTGCCATGGTGTGATGGTTGGGTACAATCAGACTTAGAACAACGTGTCCTACAACTGAGGGCTAAACCTCAACTTTGGAAAAATCGTTAAGTGGTAATTAAGTGAAACGTCTCAAACTTGGTATCAAGTATTTCATTTTTAAACACTGACAGACAACAGTCCTCCAGTGCCAACCCATGCCATGGATGCGGATGCTCTACAGAAACTTATTCATTTGCTCCAGGTCACAGATGATCCATTAATTCAAGAGCAAGCTTTAATCACTCTCAGCAACAGTGCTGCCTTCTCTGTAAATCAAGTAAGTATTGTTCTGTAGTAAACAACAGTGTTTCAATACCAGTCAGTGTGAGAGGTGATGTTTTGCTGAAGAGTGACACAGAACTGAGAGCTAGGATAGCTTGTGTTCTAAAATCCATTTTATATCTATGCCTTAATTTCTGTTAGCCCAAATAATATAATTTACCAGCTTCACAAAATTTTTCTAAGCTTAATGTTTGTCCATTGTAAAATCTGTACAGAGTTCTGTATTTTCAAAGTGCTGGAAATATCTTTTTTTTTTTATAGTTATGTAATGTTAATGAAAGAGTTGAATTGGAGAAGAGTTAAATACTCTTAGGATCAGATCTGAAATTTACTGAGATAATTTAAACTATTTTTTATCTTTACAAAGTTGTATGCCATTTTACATCTTAGCAACTTTCCAACTATGTAGGTCTCTTAGAATCAGTTGGAAAGATGATGCAGAAAAACTTGGAGCTAGGTGCAGATTTTCACGCCTCTGTAAAGGTTCTCACTCTTTTTGTTTTTTCCTTTTTGTATGGTACTTATGACAGCTGTCTATTCTGGCTTCTCAAAACTCTTTTCTTCATATAAATCTCTCACAACAGAACATAACTGAATCCCAAGGCCCATTGGCCCATGTTTCATTTTCTTGAAAACAATACATGGTTTTTTTGTTGATGGTTAGAGTCTAAGTGAGAACGAAAAAAAAGATCAAATGTATTGGAATATAATTGTAAAGTTCAAGAACTTATAATAATAATATAAAGCTGCATCTTGAACTTCTGTTCTGTTCAGTCAGGTCTTCTAGGTACTGTTGACCTGGCTTAGCTATTCTATAAACTCATTATGCAATAATTACCTTTGATTCTTTATAATCTACAATGCTTTAAGCATGCTTTGCAGGCTGAATTTTAAAAGTAAAGGTGTTGTGCCACCAGTGTCAAATAATACTTTGTCCCTAAGCAGGACCATTCTTAATTTCAGTAGAAGCAGTAAAGCAGTATCTGCTAACACTCTTTAAACAGAGTAGCCTATTCTGGAAGTCTTCATTCACACATTCAATTTGCATTAAAGTGGAAACTTTGAGGAAAGCCTTCAGCATTTAATTTAATTTTTTAATAATCTTATTAAATATCTGTTTTATATTTCAGGATATAATCCGAAATTTGGATGGCCTTTCTGTTATTGGAGGGCTGCTCTCAGATTGCGTTCCCAAAGTTAAAGAAAAAGCACTAAATGCACTTAATAATTTGAGTATGAATATTAAAAATCAGGAAGAGATACAGGTAAGTTTCTTAAATGAAAAAATCAAAGTAATTGAGACACAGGAGACAGTACAGGGCTTTCAGTGTATTTGTCAAATACAAGCCAGGATACCAAAATTTTTGATGCTAGACATACGAGTCAGCAGATCTGGATGACCTGTGCATCCCAAGGTCAAAGGGATAACTTAAAAATACATGGCATCACTGGCACTTACTTTTTTTAAAGAGAGTTAGGAAACTAGGCAATTTGTGTTTAGCTTTGACCAAGTTCTATTAAACAGAGATTGTGCTGCTGAGTTTATGGTGAAATTATGTGAAGCAAGATGATTTCCAAACGTGTAGAACATCAGCAGTGGTTGTTTAATAGGATGGATTGCAGACTGAACTTAGCATGACTCCTTGGGCAACAGAGAAGAAAACAGTAATTGAGCCCCTGGGTTTTTATGAGACTAATTTTTCAGGGTGATACTTTGATCTTAAAAGAATAGTGTGTAATGACAGTAACAGGTCCCACTGGTAAATATGTTAGATGGTATAGATGTGAAAGGACCAATCATCAAAAAAAGCATCCACACAAAGTGTCCAAGTAGTGAGCTGATGCAGATTTGAAGGTTTTTACTAGGTCTTTCATTATCTTGATAAAGAAGCACTTAGACTGTACCTGGTAGTTTGGAGCATCTTTAGCACTGAGCAATTTTTTTTTAAAGTAGTGCTTGCCAACAGCAAATAGTTGCACAGATGTATAGGTAGAAAACAACTCCTTTGGTAAAGGCAAAGGAATTTTTTTCTTAGTTAGGACTCCAAGATTCATTTGTACACTGTCATCTGGAAGAAAATTTGGTAAATAATAGTTAATGTCAGTTGTCATCACTGTTCCTGAGCAATACTCCAGTGAATGTGACACGTGGTTGGAAGAAAGGATTTAATTCCGAGACTTGTTCTTAACTTGTTCTTAACATGTAAGAAGATGTGATTTTAGAAATAACTCCTTAAAGCAGATGTGCCACTTCTGAGATGGAGTCAAAGCAATTTGGGTTTTCAGAGGAATTTATGCTTCAGGAAGGTTAGTGAGCATAACTCTCTAACATCTGCCTCTATCATGGCAAAAGAATGTTTGAGTATGTTCAAAACAAAACAAAAAAGTACTAGTTTCCAAGAACGTTGACCAGGTTATGTATTCAGCCAGCAGTGTTCAAGAGGTATTTACAGTAACTGCTGTGGCTAGGCCACTGATACTATTTGTGAATAGAAAATCTGCTTGTATCAAAACCCATCTCTTTTTATCTCCCTCCCTTTTTCCTCAGGTATATATTACACAAGTTTGTAGGAACATTGAGTCAGCTCCCCTGAATTCTGATCTGCAGCTAGCTGGACTCAGATTGTTGACAAATATGTCTGTTACCAATGACTATCACCATAAGATGATAAACTCAATTCCATGCTTTCTTCACTTGCTTTCAGAAGGAAATGAAAGGACACAGGTACTGGGTGATGTATTGTTACAAATCATTTATGAACCTGCTTTACTTGCCTCCTTTTACTGTTTTTGTAAAATGGTTTAGTCTGTGCTTAGAAAATATTCAAATATTCATTAATGATTGAGGATAGTACATAAAATACGTAAAGTATGGATCAATATTACTTTCTCAATGTAAATTCAGAGAGGAGGAAGGTAGACTTGATAGTGGAACCATCAGGCTACAGCTCTACCAAACCAGTGCTGTGTGCACTGCTATTGTTCTGCACCTTTGCTATAGCAACTCCAGAATTCTCTTCTGCTCATTAAATGTTGCTACTGCATCACAGAGCAAGGAGGATCTGCATGTGAAAGCCTTCACCGATGCCTGAATCTCTCTAGGGAAACACATCAAGCAGTGATAACCTCAGTTACAGATTGCTGTTCCCTTACGTTTAGTACATCTCTTGCAACCCTAGTGACTGCAATGGGAAATGGAGCTTATTTGTGAATTGCTGTTATACTGAAAGAAAAGCTTCAAATTCAGTGTTTATTCAAGATGTCACAGTGCTGTCAATATCAATGTACTCAGTTGCTCTATCAGATCTAAACTATTTTTCCAAAACACAAATTTCCACTAAACTTAGCAGACTGTTTTACTTAAGTACAATAAACAGCATTTGGTCTTTTCCTAGTGTTTAGTTAAAATACTAGCGTCACGAGGTCCAGGAAAGTACAAAGGTGTATTTTTATATGCTTTGAACACATTTTAAATACAGTACTTAACCATACTCTGTATATTTTAAAAATATTTTGTGTTTTGCCTACTGTGAGTTGTGTATAGATCTTGCTTTATTTTGATGTGTAAGGTAAACTGAAATTGCTTCTAAAATATATATATATACACACACATTTAGTACATACGTGCTAGTGACTTCATAAGCTCTTTTTTTTTCCCTATACCAAAGACTGAAGATGTTAGTTGACCCATTCTACCTTTTCCTCTCCAAGTTAGCACTGACATTATTGATGCCATTACTGCTGTACTTACTGGTTTTGGAGCTTACAATGAACTTTTATGTTCCTTATTTCAGGTTCAGGTTTTGAAAGTACTTGTGAACTTATCTGCAAACCCAGGCATGACAAGACATCTTCTCAGAGCTCAAGTAAGGTTCTTGCTATTTCATTGTATTTCTACCACTTATACATGTGTATGTGTGTAGATACATGCATGCATTAGAAGAGTTTTAATGTATTGGATGTATATATGCAACTCCAGAGTAAAATTCTAGGAAGTACCTGGTTTACTAAAATTAGTAGCTAGAAGTGTGCATTCGTTCACAGGCTAGCCTTCTGCAGAGTGTAGTGTCATACAGATACCATACATGCAGAGGGACAGCCATAGGGCCTATGCAGTTGAAGACAGTTGGTCATACTTCCTGTGTACCATTCCAGATAATCAGTGACAGCTTACAGAAGCCTGCTCTCACCTTCCTTTTCCACCAAAGGGGTAGTACCAGGAACTTTTGTATGTAGTGTATAAGGTACCTTGGTAAGTTTCAAAAACAAACCCAAAACCTCATTTCCAGACATGCAGTCAGTATATAGATTGAAGATCAGGTACAGTCATTAAATACAGCCAGTACTGTATCCTTCTCAACAGCTGTTTCTATAGCTAACATGCTGTACCTACAGCAACCAAATTCCACTGAAATCCCCACCGCTGTGCTCAAATGCAGCCATAAAACTGTCTGTAAGCACAGCAAGTGAACTGTCTTAGGTCTTTGTGGAGATCTTTATCTGACACTTGCTACTGCTGGCCTTGGCACACAGGTTTATTTCAGTTATATCCTTTCCTCACAGCAAAATGGGACTGGAATGGTGCTGCATCTTCCTCCCCAAAGTAAGTTTCTTAAAACATGCAGTGGCTTTTATTTTTGAGCTATCTGCCATGAGCAAAGCTAGTCTAGATGCTACCAGCTTTTCATTACCAAAACAAGATTAGGGTAGCTAAATATTCCGTTCTCTGTTAACAGTGTTTCCTTTTCTCATTTATCAGATGTGCTAACACAAAAACATTCCAATCACTGCAAAGGGCAAAAGCAACATTATTGAGAAGGAAAGCAGACCCTCTCTTCCAAATGGGAATTTTCCAGACAGCCACATTTCAGAGATTGAAAGTACAAAGCGTTTATTAGCCTGTGATGCACAAGCCAGTCTTTTCTAAAGAGGAAATGTGCATGCTGTGCAAGTTTCTGGCATGCTTTCACAGCATATGGAGTTCTGGTATTTCATAGGGTTTCTGGTTTAGATGGTTTAGGTGCAGATTTTTTTTCCCCATTTTTTTAAGTTAATGTAGTTACATGTACTTACTGCTGGTGATTAAGTACGGATTATTTCTTGAATATCCTAGGTGCCATCACTGCTGTTACTTTTTGACAACTGTATAAACAGAGATGTTCTGCTTAGAGCCCTGGCATTTGCAGCAAACTTGAAAAGGAATGCGAACAATGAAGATAGCACCATGATTCAGGACCAATGCGGTGAAGATTCAGTTTTCTTCACATTCTGCAGGGACTCTACCCCATTTGCTCAGAAACTGGCATCTTTGTTGCATCACCCCGATACAGAAGTGAAAGAGCAAGTTGTGAGAATATTAATGCAATAGTGATGTTTTTTAAGACAGACTGATATGCTAAAAAACCCCAACGAGCAAACAGTGAAACAACTGAAAAAAAATTACTGAATACTGCCATATTACTAGGCACAAATCAGTTACTACAGAAGAGAATGCAACGTATTTAATTTAGAGAACCCAGCCTATGTTTTTTCACCTTACCTGCAGGGAATATATTCTAAAACTACTTTCTGATATGCCTAGTATATCTGTTCCATTTAGCCAGACTGCAGGGCAGTTAACCACAACCACACAAGGTTTCTACACTTGAAAGAAATGGAAAGGATTTTATCTTGCTTTAAAATTGTCACTTTAAAGAAAGAATACATATTTTTCAAAATATTTTATTATGAGTCAAGATTATCTGCAATTGCAATTCAATATTCTCATCTTTATAAGAAGTCTACAAGAGCAGTATCGTACACTTTTTTACAAAAGCTTCCTGTTCTGTAGCAGCCCTTCAGCCTGCTCTCCCTGGAGAGCTTTAGTCCTTTTTCTCTGCAACTGGAACATCATCAGAATAAGTGCTTTTGTTGAGTGAGCCCTCAGTTTTAGTCATCAGTCCAGTGTTAATTCAAAATGAAGTGGAATACATATAGACATCCTTGTAAAAGAAGGAAGTTTCACTGATGGACATAAAATGTACTAGAAAACACTTCATACTAAAACAAGGCTACTAAGACTTCCTGAATACCTCATCACAGATAAAGTAAAAAAAGTGTCAGCTGTAAAGGCTAGAAAACAAGTTTTCCCCCTTGTACCATTTTTAAGAGAGCTGTTACCAGATGTTTCATCTTTCTAAGTTAATATACCCACTGTGCTCTTAATAAAATACTACTCTCTTTCTGTAATTCAGTAGATATTTTACTTATTTTTAGTAGCCAACTTTGCAAATAGCTGAAACTGCAAGAAAAAATGTGACCTTGCAAATACATTATCTATGCCCTGATCAATACAAGGGTAAAGCTACATGGATCTAATTTACCTACATAGGTAGTTTTAACTTCTCAGGAACACAATTAGGGCAGAAATAGAAATTGGCATGATTCCCAGTCAGAACCCTGACCATCGCTGCATTGACAGTGAACTTCCCACTGCTCCAAAAACAGTTTGTTTTGTAATAAGCAAGTTACATTACAATCACGTAGTGTTTTGCCAGGTTTTGTAGATTTTTTTTTTTCTGTTTCTTTATTTAACAAAGAAAAATAAAGGCTAGATCAGACACTAAGAATTTACCAATTCTACTTTTCTCTTCTGACAAGAACTTAAGACTAGTCTGTTCTAGGTTTATGTGATATATATGTGTTTTCTTAAGCTCAGCAACAGAGATGTCTAGATGTCTCTCCATGTTATCCCATCCTAAAAATAAGTTTTTCTTTTTGATAATTAAAGTTGATCTCCTATCCTTTGCTTTGAGAGCTGACAGAAACAACCATTGTACCCTTTTCTCAAAACACATGAAAACTTGCTACAGTGTTGTCTCAGTCTTCTTTTTCTGGTCTAGAAAGACTTATTTTTAAATGCTTTCTTCATGGAACAATGCTACTGAGATGTTTTGAAATCATGCAAGACTCTCCAAAGTGTCTTCATGCAAGCATCTCTAATTTTTTTATCCCCTACTCCACACTCTAGATGGAATCTTAGCACCAAGCAAAGCCTGACAGTCACTGTTCTACATACAAATGGTGTGAATGAATAGATCCAAAACAAAAGGTGTGCCATTACTAACATCTAGTCTCTGATCCTTTTAAGTCAGTACTTCTCTGCTATGTGGCTGTTTATCTAGTTATTCTGTATCTTAGTTTCATTCTTTCTTTCTAAAGTGCAGAATTTTACAGAATAGTCTATTGATTATTTTGAAAACAAACAAAAAAAAACCAACTTCAGTTTTAACCATATCCTTCCAAGTACTCAAAACATCCAGCAGCTTGGTGTCCTCTACAATATAATGAACATGTAACATGTATTATAATCCAAATTGTTACTGAAGCTTTTGTGTCAATACAAGGCCCAGTAGAGACTTCATCTGAAATACCCTCCCAAAATCAACGCTGAAAACCAGAGTAGTTTTAAACCCATTTTGATTAAATTCTCTTAAATACATCTAGACCATACAATTACCTTTTCAAATAAAGAAATCTTGATGTTTGTCAAATACCAAGGAATCCCACCAAATGAATATAAGCTGCTTTTTCTTACATTTAAGTGTAATTGTTTCAGAACCCTTCCTCAGCATGAACTTGGACTAAGTGGTCTTTGCCTCCTTGTGCTGTTCTTCAATGGTATTAGGATCTCTAACACTTTTAGGACTTCCCAATATAAATTTTTGAAAGATAACTATCAACAGTTAAAAGATGACTTCAATTTGTTCCCAGCATGAAATCCCATTAACTGGTTTTAATTAGTTGCCAGAAGTTCATGGCTTTAAATTGCAGGGAACTAACGTGTCTTTTTGTATTTATCTTCATAGAGTACAAACAGAAAATGTCATGCACAGCAAGAGCAAAAAAAATACACATATCCCACAGACCAAACAAATAATGAACAAAAAAATGATTTGCCAATGAATTATGAAGGAGAAAAACAACCCTTTTTCTTGGCAACAGTAGGCTTTAATTCTGTAAATTAGCAAGGCAATTTGATACAGACACATTTAGCCAAGTTTTACAATAATGAACAATGTTATAATCACCCATTCAACTTTAAAATTATAGGGAAGCTATAAGAAAAAATACCACAGCCCTTGCTTGAGACTTTTAATTTAAAAAAAAAAAAAAAAAGTATTTGGTAATAGGCTGAGTCAATGCAGAGACAAGCGCCATTAAGGGATTCTTCCATTTCATGTACTGCATGTGATGAGAAAGTTATTTTAGACACATTCAGGACTAACTTAAAAACACTGACAAAACAATGACAGCATACAGATACTCTGGCCAGCAGTAAGTTTTACACATCAATGACACAGTATTAAATTATCTCTCTCTTTAAAAGGCACATTTCTTTAGATCACTGTAAAATTCAGCTTTTGTGGTTCGTCAATATATGAAAATGTAGAAGCACTCAGTAAAATAATTATTTTACTGTGCTTGTGCTTTAACAACACAGCTGTATTGGAAGACTCCACCCCACAAAACATACAGTGAAGCTGTCAAGGTACAGGCCATAACCTGAAGATTAATGACTAACAAGTGGGAGATGACATTCCAACGAGGCCTAATTCAAGTTGGCCATTAATTCTAAGAATATGGCCCGTGCTGAGGTTATTATTGCTGCTGCAGGTAAGATTAAGAAATTTTTTTTTTAAAAAAAAACAAAACCAAAAACCAAAAAACACCACAGTAATTTCTCAGTGGTGTAAATGAGTGTTGAAACTGCAAGTTATTCCTCGACAATACCTTATATATTAACCAGTTTTTAGATCGCCTTTCAAAATTTATAAACAATATAACTAGTAAAATTTATCATGAAATTGGTATGCAAGTTTTAGTTCTGAAACTGACAAATCTGGCATCTAAAAATCCAATTCACTCCAAAAATCTACTTGGTAAGTACATCATATTAATATTTGTAACACTAATTGCTAGTTCAAATCAAAGGAGGCTTATAAGGAACTGCCACCATTTCATTAGTCAAACCCATCATTTGTACTCAAGTCCCGTGATTCTCCATGGTTTAAGACAAAGAAGTCTTCTTTTTTCAAGCCGTATCTTTCAAGAGCTTCATTCAGTTTAACTGGAGGATCCAAGTAATACTGGAAAAATAAGAATAATATGAGGGAAAATATATCATTTCAGCGTTTGGGTGATAGAAAGAGTATCACTGCTCTAAAAAAAGACACAGTTTACATTTTAAACATTATCTAAAAAGGGGGGATGTGCGTATATATTTGCCAAATAAAAATGTTTGGTTTGATTTTCAGTTTTTAAACGATAAGAAAGCTGATTTACAGTTGTAGAGTAACTAGCAAGGCACAACCTATCATCCAAAATTCAGTTTTCTTCAAGGTATGGAACTAGACCCTCGGGAGCAGGAACAGGTTCGCAGGTCAGCAGGTGGCGCTTTCTCTCGTTCAGTGAAACAAAGCTTTGCTGTTCGAAAATTAGTGCCATTTCTGTGAGGTCCCCTGCACGCACTTCAGTATATTTGTCACACTTCAGAAAAGGCACCATCAGGGAGAAATCATCCAATTTTTGTGCTTCTAAATACGCAGAAGCATTTGTTCCGTGGACACTAGCGACACAGCTTATTAGAAGCATCATGGGTAGAAAGATGTATGTGGAGAAAACTTGACGTATCAGGTGAACACAGCTAACAGCATCAGGACTGAGCTGCGAGATAAAGTGGTGCAACTGATGCACAGATAAAGCTGAAAAACAGCTACTAGACAACAAGGTGTATCAAAGTAGATGTAGATACTTCCCTCTCACTGCATTTTTAGTCACTGTGAAGCTACCTGCGTAACCTCCTTATTAGGACTGGGGACTTGGCCAGGGGGGGGAGAGATTAAAAAAAATAATTTTTAAATAAATCAGCAACTTAGAATAACTCAGTTTTTCACATTCTTGCTGGTATTTGACTATGAATCAACTATTAAAATACTATTAAATATTTTTACTAAACAGGTGTGATTAATAAATACTGTATTGACCTACAGGCATGCAATTCGTACTGTCTCCATGTGATACACTGCTGAGTTTACTATTACCACTGCACACATGTCCCCACTTCTCATGTTCCTCAGCTTTCGGATATCAGAAATTCTCAATATTCCTTTCAATAATTCTGTACTTTTAAATTAATTTTAACCGTGGAAATATTTTATGTAATTGGTTATGAAAAGCTAAGCATTGCTTTTAACTGCAGAACATATAGCAACAATTTTTCACTCCTAAAAAGTTTACATTTTAAGTATACATATACAGATACCTAGGTTAAACTGCAAAGATTGATCAATGGCTGTGTATGCGGGGAATCTGAACTCATGTATAGTG